CAAATATTTTACTAAAATAATTCTACCATTTAAGAGATTCAGGTTGCGTTAACAAACGACGATATTGAGGTAATATGTGTAATATATGCAGCAGTTGTTGGTGATGTCTGGCTGAGGACATGTTCCTGGAGGTTAAACACCTGCTGGTGTAAACACAGATGTTTGGATGGGTCCCTGGCCAGTCTGCTGAGGGAGGGGTTGGTGGAAGGGGAGAGGGGAAGGGAAGGAGGGACAGGGAAGGTGGACAGGGGACTATCACTACACACCGAATATAATCACCCCTGCATTAGCCACCATCTGCATTTCTCATTTTCTGGATAATCCTTCAGAAGCATTATCCTCATTTACCGCCCTCCTCCTCCTCTATCCCTGCCTCCTCCTCCTCCTCTGTCCCTGCCTCCTCCTCCTCCTCTATCCCTGCCTCACCCTCCTCCATCCCTGCCTCACCCTCCATCCCTGCCTCTATCCTCCATCCTGACCTGTGGAGCTCCTCACTGCATTGTCGGGTGCATACATATGCCTGGCACTGTGCCACGCTGGCCAGTAACACAGGCACTATGTCCGTAGTGAGCAACCTGTGGCCCCTCGCACACGCACGCACACGCACGCTCGAACGCACACACACACACACATACACACATACACAAACACCGCTGGATCAATACAGGAGGGTGAGACCCGTGAATGCACCTGCCCCCCCCCACACCCCGTGTATACTTCAGCCCCCCACCACGTGTATACACCAGCCCCCCACCACGTGTATACTTCAGCCCCCACAACAAGTGTATGCACCAGCCCCCCACCCCGTGTATACACCAGCCCCCCACCACCACGTGTATACTCCAGCCCCCCCCACCACGTGTATACTTCAGTCCCCACACCACGTGTATACACCCGCCCCCCACCACGTGTATACACCAGCCCCTACCACGTGTATACTTCAGCCCCCACACCACGTGTATACATCAGCCCCCCCCCCCACCACGTGCATACTCCAGCCCCCCACCACGTGCATACTCCAGCCCCCCACCACGTGCATACTCCAGCCCCCCCCCCCACCCCGTGTATTTACCAACCCCCCACACCGTGTATACACCAGCGTCCAAACACACTATACATAGCCTGCCTCGTGTACCTCCCCCCCCCCCTGAACGAAGCATCGCGTCACGCCTCAAGACGGAGCTGAGGTCTCTGCTCCCAGTCAATCATCTGATGCCACTTTACCTGATTCATTTGAGTTATTTAAGGCCATGTTTGGCACTTACCTGTCAGTCATTACCGTCCCTAAACTCTATGCACCTAGTTCACCACTTTTGCGCTCCGGAAATTTTGTTAACGTCCTTTTAATAATATCTATTTGTCACCGTTGTTTCTCTATAAAGCGGGCTACACTCGCCAGTATATCTGAGTATTTTGGATATCGTGACCATGTCTCTCCCGACCATTATATCTAACAGTGATTGGTTTGGTGTGAGATTCATTTCCAGGACCTTATTTTGAGCCGGTTCTAAACGTTGATTTGTTAGGCAGTCCAGTTCATCCTGCTTCCATCTGTCGACGTCATAATTAGCTTGCATTTTCAGGAATTGATGTCTAGTAGCCACTTGATAGACCATTCCTTTGCTTGGTCTTCCTGGAATTTGAGATAGTCGTCAATTTTGTGATTTTTTGTGTGACTGTGTGTGTGAGTGCGTGTGCGTATGTGTATTAGAGAAAAATATGTAGTAGATATGATCGAGGAAAATATGTCGGGAGTGAGTACATTAGGTAACAGACGGTTAGAAAGGCGGGGTCCAAGAGCTAACAGTTCGATCCTGCAGGCACAAAACGTAAGTGCAAAAAGTAAATTCACACACAAATGCACTTAAACATACACACACACACACACACACACACACACACACATTTCAAGGAAGCAGCCCGCATTAGCTGTCTAATTCACAGGTACCTATTTACTGATCGGTAAACAGATGCATCAGGTGAAAGAAACTCAGCCCATTTATTCTGCCTGATCCGGAATCGACCTCGGGTCTTTAGAAATTTGATCCCCAAGCGCTGTCCACTCGTTCGCGAAGCCCCTGTGTGTGTGTGTGTGTGTGTGTGTGTGTGTGTGTGTGTGTGTGTGTCTGTAGGGATGGCTAGGCAGCGTTCATATATTTAGTAGGCACGGATTAAGAGTCATGTATATGGCTTAAACTCACTTCCCCTTAACATCCCATAATTTTTACAACACCTGCCACTAATGACCCCAACACCTGCCACTAATGACCCCAACACCTGCCACTAATGACCCCAACACCTGCCACTAATGGTTGTAAACACAAGCTGTGAGGTGGTGCTCTAATAGCCAGGGGTGAGAGCCCAGTAAGACTGAGGTGATATAGCTCATCCATCACCCAGACGGACTTCTGCACCCTGCACTCTAAGACTTAAAAAAAGGCCCCACGCGTCTTGCAAGTACTAATTATTGCACATTGCTCATTCCACTAACGGGGGAAGGGAGGGGGGGGCAGGATATCTCAAGCCTTTTTAAGCCGCTTCGTGCTCCCCTACCGTGTGTCTGACTTAAAAAAAATTCATTATTCGCTCAATTTATTTAGATTTGCATTGTGTAAAAGCCCTAATTTGTAAGGTATGTACAAGCGTCAAATTTGAATGCGGATTTAGTCGGGCCAGAAACGTTCGAATTTAGAACGTTCTAAACGAACGTTTTAGAACGTTCTTCTGACCAATAGAGGCTCGGGATTATTAGTCCGAGCGGAGTGTCAATATTGTTGGGGTCTTTCTTTCCCCTAAACTGCTGCCATGTTTGCGTTGGGGGGAGGTAGTGTAGATATTGGTGCTTGTGTAGTGAGAAGACAAGCTTATATCTGATGTTCTTTCCCAGTCTGGTCGTTTAGACCAGACCCAGACTGGTCGTGAACTAGAAGGTGGATGGTCGGTCATGCAGAAGCCAGTATTGCGATCTCCGAATTCCTGGCCGTTTGTTCGAGACAAAGTGAGCAGTTAGGATATGTTGAGTCCAATACTGAGGGTGCCAGGGCGGCAGACCGCCTCGAGGCACGCTCAACCAACTGGCTGTCGTGTTGCTGCTCCCAAACTCAACCAACTGGCTCCCAAACTGCTCCCAAACTCAACCAACTGCTCCCAAACTCAACCAACTGGCTCCCAACTGCTCCCAAACTCAACCAACTGCTCCAAACTCAACCAACTGGCTCCCAAACTGCTCCCAAACTCAACCAACTGCTCCCAAACTCAACCAACTGGCTCCCAAACTGCTCCCAAACTCAACCAACTGCTCCCAAACTCAACCAACTGGCTCCCAAACTGCTCCCAAACTCAACCAACTGCTCCCAAACTCAACCAACTGGCTCCCAAACTGCTCCCAAACTCAACCAACTGCTCCCAAACTCAACCAACTGGCTGTATTGATGTAACACCCACGCTCAACGCCATCTTCATCACAGGATGACGTGTTTATCAGAATACACTCAAGATTTAGAAAATCATTCGGAGCCATGAGGTGACTCGAACTTGCGACCAAGACACACACCCCTGTACCACGACATGGCGCACGTTACACAGCCTGGGAGTCCACTGAATCCATAGGAAATCTGAAGGCTTCTACTGAAGCCAGTCCAAGTTTGACATCTAGAATACACTCTGGTGTAGAGTAAAGTAGTTCACCAACTATGTGTTCCAGCCTCAACACCAACATATCACTAATGGGATTTTTTTTGTGTGTACACACAATGTTGTTAGTAACTGAAGCTGTTGTGTGGTTAGTGCCAACGACCTCACTGGTCGCTGAGGTCACTGTTCATTGTCACAGGTCACGTCTACGCTGTCAGAGGTCACTGTTCAGTGTCACAGGTGGTGTCAACGGTGTCACAGGTCACTGTCGTCACCAGCTGGGGAGAGAACAGTTGTCGCCAGCTGGGAGGAGAGGGAATGAGAACAGGTGCAAGACCAAGCTCTTCACATGTCAATATTGGTGTTTACATAATTTATTTTATGACGTGAAGGCCACGAGAATAATATCTGGAATGGTTCCATGAAAACCTGGCAGCGTAGGTGTGTGGGGTGTGTGTGTGTGTGTGTGTGTGTGTGTGTGTGTGTGTGTGTGTGTGTGTGGTGTGTGTGTGTGTGTATGTGTGTTTGTGTGTGTGTGTGTGTGTATGTGTGTGTGTGTGTGTGTGCATTTTTATTTATATATATAATATATATATATATATATATAATATATATATATATATATATAGACATATATATATATATATTTATATATATATATATATAATATATATATATATATATAATATATATTTTTTTTTTTTTTTTTTTTTTTTGAGAGAGAGAGAGACCCATGCAGTAGTATCGTTGCTTCCTATTAATAGATTTTCTGAGAGACGTACAAGAGAGACAAAGAGAGGGAAAGGGTTGAGGGAGAAAGGGGGGGGAGGAAGAAAAGGGGGGAAAGGGGGAGGACCAAGGAGATGAGGGGAGAGAGGGGGGAAAAGGGAGGGCGAGCAAAGGACAAATTGGGAAACCAAGGGAATGTTGACGAGGGGATCAAAGGGAAGGGGGAGATACAGTACTTTCGTATTAATTAATACATCTTCAGAAGTACGTAAACTACGTTGTATTAATCAATTTCAACTCCTGAAGATGTATTGAGTAATACCAAAGCACCTAAGCATTTGCTGTCTCATTTTGTTTTCCCCCATTTTCGTGGTTGAGTGTACCTTTTATCCTCTTCACCGAGGCTCTGGGTCCCTACAGTTACACCAAAGATGCAATATAAATATACACAGAGAATATTGACCCAACTTTCTATGGAGGTTGGATCAAGGTTCCAATCTTTAGATCTTCATTCTACTTTGCTCTTATGAAGGCGATTTAAGCCGAAAACGCCTTCAGGTGTAGCAGATATAGCTCATTATTTCACATGTGGTTTTTCACCCCCCTACACCTGTAACATATGACCCTTCCTCCTACAGGAGCTGGCCTCTGCCAACCCCAACCAGCGCAATTGGAAAGGCATCATCATTGCCGTGCTGGTGATCTGCTTCGTGCTGGGCATGATCGTGACCTCCGTGCTGCTGCTGACCCCGCCTGATGACGGGCCCAGGGTCAAAGGTCGCAGGTTTGAGTTAGAGGACATACTGGGCGACAACTTTAAGCTACACGTCTTTAACGGCAGCTGGATATCAGGTCAGTACCGGTGGGGAACAGCTCAGACGCTTTTATATATATATATATATTATATATATATATATATTATATATATATATATATATATATATAATATATATATATATATATATATATAATTTTAATAATGTAAATACGGGGCAAAAGCACAAATTCCATTATACTCTATAGTATATAATGTGGCAGCACCCAGTCTCTCTCTCTCTCTCTCTCTCACCACTGTCCACTTAAGGGGAGTACCCCGAAGCAAGTGAGGAAACCGGCAGCTCCCGGGACTCCCAACCTAGGTATCCTGGTACACAGACCCGGGCTGCGAGGTGCCAACTGGCACGCCACACACAAGGTGATTAGCCTATTTACTGGAAATAAAGATACAGTTGTTATAGGGCGAAAATATCTTAAAAGTGTCATATGTGGCAACACTCCGGCGGTGAGACATTCGATAACAATATGGCAACATCTTTCAATATTGATAATAGTAGAACGTTGACTCTACTTTACGATTGAAGAACAGAGGCTGCAGTCCTAGCAGCCTGTTGCAGTTGGTAGATGCTCCCTCTGGCGACTTCGGTGCGTTTTCATTTCACCCGCTTCTCCTCTTAAAGGGGAGACGACGGTAGACCTCTCCTCGCAGCTGGTCGACGAACTTCCCACGGCTGGTCTCCTCGGATCACCCCACTAGGAGCAGGCGAAAGTCTCCCAGATCTTTATCCGTCTCCCACGCTCAATACTGCTCCCCCTACGACCTCAAGATAGCAGGTCTCTGAAGTGACAGGACTTCAAGATAGCAGGTCTCTGAAGTGACAGGACTTCAAGATAGCAGGTCTCTGAAGTGACAGGACTTCAAGATAGCAGGTCTCTGAAGTGACAGGACTTCAAGATAGCAGGTCTCTGAAGTGACAGGACTTCAAGATAGCAGGTCTCTGAAGTGACAGGACTTCAAGATTGCAGGTCTCTGAAGTGACAGGACTTCAAGATTGCAGGTGTCTGCAACGGCAGGACCTCACGATAACAGATGTCTGCAGTGACTGGATCTCACGATGGGAGGTGTCTGAAGTGACAGGACTTGAAGATAACAGGTGTCTGCAGTAACTATGGCTAACAGAATCCTCAAACCATTCCTGATTGCTTAAAATATGAGCAACTGGTCTCTGATTGGTTAAAATATGAGCAGCTAGTCTCTGATTGGTTAAAATATGAGCAGCTGGTCTCTGATTGGTTAAAATATGAGCAGCTGGTCTCTGATTGGTTAAAATATGAGCAGCTGGTCTCTGATTGGTTAAGATATGAGCAGCAGGTGGTCGGCCGTTATTAATAAAGTGTACATCTGTTAGCGTGGTCTCCAACTACCTCGATGTTAATGGAGGGTCACAGGTGCTGGGCCACATCGAGCCTTGAATATGCATCCACGCCAACGGGACATGACGACAGCGCTTGCCTGTCCTGCGGCAACTTTGCCACTTACTCGTGCTGACCAGACCGGTGAGAGAAGCTGCCACTTGCTCGTGCTGACCAGACCGGTGAGAGAAGCTGCCACTTGCTCGTGCTGACCAGACCGGTGAGAGAAGCTGCCACTTGCTCCGTGCTGACATTTATTGCCATGCGGACGACTCACCAAGACCAATGTGTTGCAGTCCTCAAATTGTCTTGGTGGTCACTTTTCCTCTGGCAAGTGGTCCTTTTCTTCCTTGTCTTAACAAGAGTGTGAAGCACTGAGGGGGAGAGAGAGAGAGAGAGAGAGAGAGAGAGAGAGAGAGAGAGAGAGAGAGAGAGAGAGAGAGAGAGAGAGAGAGAGAGAGAGAGAGAGAGAGAGAGAGAGAGAGAGAGAGAGCAGAGAGAGAGAGAGAGCAGAGAGTGGGAGAGGCAGGCAGGCAGACAGTGAGTGAGTGAGTTTTCAGCCTCGGAAATTTTTCTGAGGTTCCCAACTCACATTTCAGGCTCTTCCCTTGAGCCTGTCTTAACTGTTCTTCTCCCTGCAAGACCTCTGGCTATCATGACAGATCGATATGAATCCTACTCGCACAACTTCGTTTGTGCGACTCCTAAAGCAGAACAGAAGCAGCCTGAATGGAATGCCTTGTTCCACGGGGACGTGAACAGTCAAGCAAACGCCCTCACCCAGACGCATACTAGATCTCCAGCACAAATATATTCCTCACTGGCAGTATGCAACTAAGCTTTCTGATCAGCCATAGTTTGGGGACAAGGCCTGGAAGAGATCTAAAAGGCATCCTACGGGTCTTAACAGGAACATTCTTAGAAGATCTTCTCGGAAAATGAAACTGGTTCAAAAGTGGGCTATTATATCCAAGTGAGAATTAGAAACGAAGAAAGCTTGCACGGAGAAGAGTTGTATCCAAAGTTTGATGGTCTCTGGTTAAAGAGACCATCATCTTTATATTCATCTGAGGACACAATCCTACTACTAAACCGAGATGGGACTGTCGCGACCATCAATCAGGAAAAGACTGATTTACTGGCAAACCACTTTGCTACCAAGAGCAAGTCCCTGATCCTGAACGACAACCTCCTCATCTTCATGCAGTGATTAGATCAAAGTTGTCTGAAATGGTTATTGAGAAGCTTGAAGCTCACCATCTCCTTAAAATACTCGACAGAGGTAAGCCTGTGGGGCTGGATAAGGTCAGCCCAAAACCTGGTTGTGTGGACCTGTTGTCTCCGCCTCTCTCAAGCCCTATGGAGGAAGGTAGATGTAATTACAGTAAACAAAAAGAAAGTCTCCTTCACTTACCAGTAACTAAACACCAGCGTCACTGCTCACAATTACGGGGCAAAGACATTCTCAGTAAACTATAATTTTTGTTTACCATCATGAGACATTTTGAGGTCGAAAATATTGTTTTACACAATGTGGTTCTGCTGTTGAAACCTTTCTAAATCTCTCCACAATGGCATCAGTCACTGAATGAGTCGAAGATGCGTTATTACAGTGAACATTGCAGATGTCCGACGGTAACACTCTGGAGTAGTAGCAAAGCTTCAAGCACAAGGTATCTGAATCTCCTTTTTACAGCTTATAAAGGACAACCTTGAATAAGTCCTCAGTGATGCAGAATGTGAAAGGCACTTACATGGTGCCAGTCTACCACAAGGCTGTGTGCTTGCCTCTTTGCTGTCCAATTTCAACGATTTAATGCGGCTTATTCAAGACGCTCAGACCTATGTTGGCGCCTGTACATGTGGAAAATAAGAAATATCAGCGGGTATGGGGCTCACATATCAAATGAGTTTCTAGGGTCCGGCTTCAGATGAGCTGATGTAGGATAACAGCCCTTGCTTGGTTCACTAGGAACTCTAGTCTGAATTTTAAAAAGACACACACACACACACACACACACACACACACACACACACACACACACACACACACACACACACACACACACACACACACACACACACACACACACGTCTGTGGTGGAGTGTGTGTGGTCGTGGCCCAGCTCTCGTCCAGTGCTATTGATTACCAAAAGGTCAATATCTATTTTTCATTACAACAGAAGTTTCTTGTGGTATCATGGTGGTGGGCAGGCGGGTGGCAGCCGGCTGGAGGCAGCTGGCTGGGTGGCAGCTGGCTGGTGGCAGCCGGCTGGAGGCAGCTGGCTGGGTGGCAGCTGGCGGGTGGCAGCTGGCTGGTGACAGCTGGTCATAACCTGGCTTTATAGATACACCATTTAATGTTAAAACCTGGACCAGGTTTTATCAAACCTTTACACAACCACTGACGAAACCTCTACATCTTTCCTCAAATCATGGCGGCTTTGTTTACATATATTCAAGAGTTGCAACTGTTTAATACATGGAAACATTATAAACGTATTTATAATAATATAAATACATTTATATAAATATTATAAATACATTTATATAAATATTATGAACACATTTATAATATTCTAAATATATTTATAATTTATATATATATACATTTATATTATTATTAAATATTATGGCCACTCAGCAATCAGAAATTGCTTTGTTCTCGTCTTAAATGATACGGTACACCGCTTCGAAGGACCGTACAGTGCTCCACAAGGCTCAGGTGCTGAGCTGTATCTAAGGTCCTGTGCAAAATAGAGCTTCGATCTCACACACGTAAGGTCCGAGGTTCGAGTCAGCTAGTGCCCAGGTAAAGGAAAGGGCAGGATCATGTGATCTGATGAGTGGGTGGAGAGCCTTTAGAAACTTTCATCTAATTGTTTCTCTTAAACAACTTCTCAGGAGAATTTTTTATCTTTTTTTCGGATTTCTGATTTTGCCCACTGAAGATATTTTAGTATCTAGATCACGCAAACACGTAATAGGGTCTTAGAGGTCAGCATGACCATAGATTCAATTACCAATCGACACTGCGAACAGTTGGGCAGTTTTTCAGCCGGCCGGCCGAGCGGACAGCACACTGGACGCGTGATCCTGTGGTCCCGGGTTCGATCCCGGGCGTCGGCGAGAAACGATGGGCAGAGTTTCTTTGACCCTATGCCCCTGTTACCTAGCAGTAAATAGGTACCTGGGTGTTAGTCAGCTGTCACGGGCTGCTTCCTGGGGGTGGAGGCCTGGTCGAGGACCGGGCCGCGGGGACACTAAAAAGCCCCGAAATCATCTCAAGATAACCTCAAGAAGATACACACAGATCCCCTGGAAGCAGCCTGTAGCAGCTGTCTATCTCCCAGGTACCTATTTACTGCTAGGTGAACAAGTGCATCAGGGTGGAAGAAACTCTGCCAATTTGTTTCTGCCTCGTCCGGGAATCAAACCCGGGCCCTTAGGACTACGACCCATCCGAGCGCTGTCCACTCAGCCGCTAGGCCCCCCTGTCCGTGTGTGCACTCAGTATAAAGATGTACAGGTTTCGTAAGTGCGCCATCTTGAACATCACGAAGGCAGTCAATACGTCCTCGAGAGGTGTGAAGTAAACAACTTGATTAGATACTGCAAGTTATTTGTTGAGAACAATTGGCTTTAGTTACGACGTGTTGACTCCTCCCACCCCAGCCGGCGCACTTAATGAGAGTGATGCTTTTCATCGATTATGTCATTGTCAATATTATATAAAAGACCAACTTTTATGTGAGGGGCTGATCCCTCTGGCCAATTATGTTTGTCACTGACTGTGGCTGTGTTGGTCATCATATCCGCTCTGAGAACGTTACATACTGTCTTTTGTTCCGCCCCCCGAGGGCAAATGTGCGCGGCGTGTGAAGTCTTCTGGTTAGAGGAAAGGGGACAGACTAAGAGTGTTCCATCTTCTTGGTGGTGAAGCTTGTGGTTCTCTCGGACCACAGAGGCTTATCCTCCTCTAGTTTAACGTCTTGTGCTATAAAGTCGAGCAGAGATTGAGGTGTCAGACCACGGGACAGATAGCTGTGCCTGCTCCAGTCTCCTGTTGTTGTTGGTGTTATAGATTCAGCTACTCGGAACAAGTTCCAAGTAGCACGGGCTATGGTTAGCCCGTAGTGGACTTACCTGGCACAGGAGCGGTGCGTGTCGTCCAGTCTCCTTGTTACTTCCTCCTTAATCATCTTGAGGTACACACGCTGTCCGGACGTTCTTCTGTCAGAGCCAAAGTGCAAGAAGGTCACAAGCATATGTACATAGAATGTCATGTTACATATTTAATATACACTTTATTTTACTGTATCCACATAACAAATTATATGAGAATCTTTTAATCTACTCAGGTGTGGAGGTTACATTAGTCCACACATATATTATCTTTCTACTAGACTACTGGAAAATGTGTTAAATCATGAAAGCCCTTGGATTATTGTTGTTATATATATGTTGATAT